TCTGTTTTCTGACATGAACGTTGGAGTATCTATGCCGGACCCAGCCCCGGCGGTTTGCAGGTCGATCTGATTCTTGAAGACAAAGGCGATCGAGATGTCTGAACTCTCACGCAATCATGATGAGGTTGTTCGACTGGCAACCTCGGTGAGTCAGTTATTTTGGCGTATCAAGCTCGTTTATACATCGATATAACTTTTGATATTTATTTGTGAATATACGAAGTTGGAATTTTATTAGCATATAAACGAATATTAAGTCAGTTAATTAGAATTCTATCGAATTTATAATGCCTCAACCAAGGCAAAATTTTATAAATGGTTCACCATATTGGCTATTTTTCGAAAAATATTCATCATATAGGGCGTCGCAAGAATGGTTCACTAAGTTGTCACTTTAATCAAAATTCGTACAATAACCAACATAGTGTACTAAAAGTTGTCAAATTTAGTTGTCATTTTCAGTACACTATCGTTGGTTATTGTACGAGTTTAGGAAAAAGGACAAGGTAAAAAGCTAATAAAATTCCAGCTCCTCATCTTGCATGGGACCACCACATTAGGAACAACATGAGGTTTATCTCGAAGCCGTGCATGAAATTGGTAGCCAATTGGTTTTGTAAATATATCTGCGATTTGATCTATTCTAGGAACATTTTGAACTGATATGATCTTGTTCAGGACATTCTCTCGAAAAAAATGAGTGTTTTGTTCGAGAATGGAACACCGAGTTGGATGACTGTGACACAACACTTACATTGTCATTCCAGATAATGCTTCGTTTGCAAACCTTTAACCCTAATTCAGAGAGAAGAGAGTGAATCCATAGAAGTTCACAAGCAGTAGTTTCCATGCTCCGATATTCGGCTTCCGCACTTGATCGGAAAACGACAGATTATTTCTTGGTGCCCCAAGAAATAAGGTTCGGACCAAAATAAAAACAATGTCCTGTCATCACAATCTGAACCCCAGTCAGCATCTGCAAATGCAGTGAGAAAGAAGGCCTTGCTAGGTCTGAAGGGTAGTCCATAAGAGAGTGTTCTAGATAAATATCTCAAAACTCATTTTAAAGCCTTACAGTGAGGTGTTTTAGGACTTTGCATATACTGACTAATTTTATTGACACTGAAAGCAATGTCATGCCTGGAAATGGTAGCATATTGAAGGGCTCTTATATCTCTGTAAGTTGTGCCATCAGGTAAAAGATCACCATCATGTTTTGAAAGGTGGCAGTTATTGATCATTGGTGTGGTGAGCCCCTTGGCTCCAGCCATCCCAGCAGCTTGAAGAATTTATGAGATACAATGTTGTTGAGAAAGTAATAAATATTCATATTGTGGGATTATTTCAATTCCAAGAAAGTAGTGAAGGTTGCCAAGATCTTTAAGGGGAAAAATTTTGTTCGGAGCCTTGATGAAGTCATTGATTTCAGAGTCACAGTCTCCAGTGACAATTATATCATCCACATAAGTTAAGACCATTAAGTAACCTGTTTTGGATTTCTTGTGAAAAAGGGAGTTATAAGCAGCTGAGGTGTGAAATCCAAAAGAAGAGAGGATCTGAGTGAGTTTAGAGCAACATGCCCTCAATGCTTGTCTTAACCCATATAGGGATGTGTAGTTTATAGACAAGAGGTTCTCCATTAGGACTAGTCTGCTCATATCCAGGTGTTTGTGTCATATATATGTTGGCATCAATATCCCCATTGAGGAAGGCATTGTCAATGTCAAGTTGCCTTATGCTCCACTTGTGGGTTAAGGCAAGAGAGAGAACCAATCTCACAGTAGCTGGTTTAACAACTGGAGTATAAGTTTCAGTGTAGTCAAGGCCGGCCATTTAGGTGAAACCCCGAGCAACCAATTTGGCTTTATATTTGCCAGCTGAGCCATCTAAGTTGTTCTTGGTTTTGAAGAGCCATTTGTAGTTGATAATGCTCTTGTCAATAGGTGGAGAGACTAAATTCCATGTTTTATTTTTCAAAAGAGCATCAAATTCAGCCTTCTATTGCGGTAATAACATGGCCTTCTTGTAGTTTGTTGGTATAATGCAATCTTAGGCAGCTGCTACATAAGTCTTGGGTTTGAGATTTTCAGTTTTTGATGTGGTAACCATCTTGTGGTGTTCTGTAGAAAGAGGGTTAGTGGCATTTGAAGTATGATCAACAGTTGAGACATCTTCAATTGGTAAATTCACAATTAAATCACAACCAATAAATTGATGATCAGGAGAAATGGGAATGGAAGAGTGATTATTGTGATGAAAAACTGGAGTGGATGGAGTATGAGTGATGTTGGGTGGATTGATAAATTTTTGAAGAGGAAGAGATGGAGATTCCAGGATAGGGATAGAGTTCATGTGAACAAGATTGTCTGTCAGTGGTGATGGGTGTTAAGAGGGTGGTGAAGATGTGTGGTAGGGGAAGGAGGTTTCATGGAAAACTATATCTCTAGTGATGATGATCTTACCATTAGGGAGGAGAACCATAACCCTTGTGTTGAGGGTTGTAACCAATAAAGGTGGAGGGCAAAGATCTGTTTTGGAGTTTGTGTTTGGTGATAGGCATGAGATGGGGGTAACAAAGGCACCCAAAAACTCTTAGGTGAGTGTAATCAGGTTTAAAGCCTGTGAGACGTTGAAAGGGAATGGAAAAGTGTAAAGGTCTACTGGGTAGTCTATTTATAAGATAGACTCCCCTATTATATTAGTGTAAAGGTTTGTGGCTCACTTTAGATCAATTAGTCTGTGCAATGTGGTGTACAAAGTGATCGCTAAAATCCTGGCAAACATATTGAAGCCTTGTCTCTCCTATTATATTAGTGTAAATCAATTTGCCTTTGTGCTTAGTAGACAAATTCTAGATAATGTCATTATTGCTAATGAGGTTATTCACTTCCTGAAATGTCATAGAGCTGGAAAAAATTTCTTTATGACCATCAAATTGGATATGTGTAAGGCTTTCGATAAAGTAGAGTAAGAGAGTGTGTGATTAATTATGCTGAAATTGGATTCAACTCCTTGTTTATGTTGTGGATTATGCAGTGCATTAATTCTTCCTCTTTTTCTTTTAATGTGAATGGTGAAGCAATTGGGTATTTGAAACCATCTAGATGGATAAGGCAGGTGATCCTCTATCACCGTACCTTTTTATTTTGATTTGTGAAATCCTTTCCCATTTGATTAAGTCTGAGGTAGCAAGACGTAATCTGCAAGGAATCAAAATGAGTAAACACTGTCCTATCTTAACACATCTCTTTTTTTTCCAGACGGTACCCTCTTATTTGCTAAAACAGATACCCCAGCAAGCGTGCACTTTACTGAAAATCCTCCATAACTATAAAATCTTGACTAGGCAAAAAGTTAATCTTGAAAAGTCATCAGAGTTTTTCAACAAAATACTCCCCAAATTCTCAAAGATCAAATCTGTGGCATACTTTTAAGTATTACCCCGCAATCAGCCTCAAAGTACCTTAGTCTGCTCCTTGGCATAGGGAATTCCAAAAATGCAACCTTTTCTTTTGTTGAGGAGGCTGTGAAAAAAAGAACCTTGAGCTGGAAGAATATATATCTCTCTCTTGCAGGTAAAGAAGTACTTCTTAAGGTCGTGATTGGAGTCTTACCAACTTACACAATGTCGTGTTTCCTTTTGCTCCAATATCTCACAAAAAGGATCTCCTCATACATGGCAAACTTCTGGTGGAACAACAACTTGGATGGTTTAAAGGGGATTCATTGGAAATGCTGGAAGCAACTCTCTTTACCAACAGTGATGGGTGGCATAGGATTCCATGATCTGCATATCTTCAACAAGGAGCTGATCTTAAAGCAGCTGTGGAGAGTCTTATCTTGTCCCCATCTTCTAGACACAAAATTTTGAAAAGGAGGTACTTTCCTAATGGTTGTTTCGCTTCAGCTAAGAAAAGGTAAAAATGCTCCTGGCTTTGGGTTAGTTGGTGAAAATTAAAGGAGTTATTCCTAGGGGGCTTAAGGTGGAAAATAGGGGATGGTAGCTCAATCAGATTATGGGAACAACCATGGGTTCCGAGCCTAGTAGGAAAAAATCTCATTGGTAAACATCCCAGAAACACTGAGCTCAGGTGGGTTAAAGATCTTATTGATGTGACTGGTAAAGGTTGGAATAAAAGCCTTCTGGAGCAACTGTTTCTTCTTGAGGAGACCGATGTTACACTATGTATAACGGGTCTGGATCCAAATAAAGTAGATATGCTGACTTGGAGTTGGAACTCAAAAGGGAATTTCACAGTAACCTCAACCTACCTAAAGCTAAGTGAAGATAGCTAGATGAAGATGGACATTGTTGGGTCTAGTGTTAATCGGGGTGTGTTGAAGAATGCAAGGAAGAGAACTTGGAGCTTAAAAGTTAAAGGGAAAATTAGGCATTTTCTGTGGAAAGGTTTAAATAGCATCTGTCCGTGCTAGTCAACCTAAATTCCAAAGGTTCAAGTTTGGATCAGAGGTGTTGGTTCTGTGAAGATTCTGAGGATACTTAGGAGCACATGTTTTTCCTTGCAGCAGGGGTCAGTTGATCTGGGAGCTAGCCCCGGTCTCTAGGGATGGTCTCATGGCAGAAACCGGTGGCTTCAAGCATTGATGGCTAAAGCTTTGCACTATCAGCAGTAATTCAACTTCTGAATATAGGGTTTAACTTACATGCTACCTGCTTTGGTGGATGTGGAAGACCCGTAACCTTTCGGTGTTCCAGCAAGTTCTAAGATCTAAAGCAGATACCGTGAAGTTGGCTCTTGGTGATTGGAGGGAGTTTTCTCTTTGTCCTGCTTAGTTCTTAGTTGGTTTAGTTTCTCGTGTGATTTATTTGGTCTGTACTAGTTTGTCTTATTGTTCTTTTGGTGTTTGGTTTCAGCTGGTTGTGCTTAGATTTTTGACAGCTTGCTAGGTCCAATTAGGGGTTCAGTGGCAAGTTGTTTTTGTTTGTTAGCTTAGTCCCTTGTCTTGGGTTCTTGGTTTGGCCAGAGATAAGTTTGGGCTCACGGGTTCTTAGCTTTAGCCTTTGTCGTGAGACTGCCTCTATCCATTCTAGTTAGTAAAAAGCTTGTGCTTTTTCTGGATAGAAAAACTTTTAACATTTGTTCCTGCAAGCCATGTGAGAATAGAAAAAACATAATCACTCATTATAAACTACAAAATAATTATAATACTTAATATAAATATCATATACTGCAAACATCTGATACAAAAAGGTATATTTTTTGTACTTTATCATAATCTTCGTATGTTAACAAATGTTAGAATATCACTTGTGAGTTGTCCTACATCGTTCATACATGGAAAACAGACCTACCTTATAAGACTAATGAACTACTCCTCCTTCCACCAATTGGTTTTGGGATGGAACCCCATTTGGGCTTCATATAGGCTTTTCCCGTTTTCCCATGGTGCACTTCATGATAGTGGGCCCACACCCATTTTTTCCCAGTTTCTGTCATGGTATCAGAGCCGGTTCTATGTGAGACCGTGTGATGATGTACCTGTTTTCTCAGCCAGTTGGGCTTGGGCTTTCGAAGAACTCACAAGTGAGGGGGCGTGTTAGAATATCACTTGTGAGTTGTCCCACATCGTTCATACATGGAAAATAGACCTACCTTATAAGACTAATGAGCTACTCCTCCTTCCACCAACTGGTTTTGGGATGGAACCCCATTTGGACTTCATATGAGTTTTTCTCGTTTTTCCATGGTGCGCTTCATGATAGTGGGTCCGCACCCATTTTTCCTCCAGTTTCTGTCAACAAACAACTCCATTTAAGAATGTTTTGTGGATTTGAAAGCACCCCCACAAAAACTCACTCACGGAAAATTAAATAACACAACCGACTATCTTACACTCAAAGCATATATTTTGTTAATTAAGAAAGAGTATCGTCAGATTATGGATGTATTAACATATTCCAAAAAACACCAAAACTTACCATATGACAGACCATTTGCATCGAATGCTTCGCCTTTCTCACGAATTTTCCAACTAACACTTTGATGAATATATAGCTCTCCAATTAGTTCATTTAGCAAGTTTGTTCTTCTTTTTCTTCTCAGATTCTCGAGGTGGGTGGGTTCTAGGGTTTCTTTCTTTCAATTTGAAAATGCCTCATTTAATAAGTTGATATTTGGGATTAGGGAAGCATAAGACATTTGAAAAGACCAAAAAGCCCATAAGATTGGCCACCGATGACCAAAAATGGCTGAAATGCAACATTCATAAAGTTTTGATGGGTCAAGTGCCACAACTAATTTGGTTGGTAAAGTGTAAAAATGCATAGTTAATTAAACTAAGTATATTTTTCCATTGAAAAAAAAGAAGAAGAAGAAGAAGAACTTCATAAATATATGAAGAAAAATGAATTTGTAGGTAAACAATGTAATTTTTATATCAAATTTGCACTTAACCAAACCTTAATTTTCACAATTCTTAACAAATATGAAACCATCCGAGACAATGTTCCAAAGCGGTCCATACAATTGTACCATCTAGGCCAACCAAATCCTTAGATAAAAGAAGAATGAACTAAACACACTTCAATGTGAATCACTAATACTCACATTGCGAAGTTCGTTTGCATTTCCTTACAATCCTATCAAATTTCAAAGTTCATTTCTATTCCTCACATTTCCTTACAGTACTATCAAATTCCAAAGTTCATCCCTATTCCTCCAGGTAAAATAAAACAATAAAAGAGAGACAAATTCACTAATGCTCATGGGAGAAACATAATAATAACAATAATACAAAAACTACATTGAATAGTATATTCATTCATCGAAATAAATTATCCAAACACAACCTTCAATCTTCAGACTGCCATTATCATCTAGCTGCTAGAAATAATTACCCCCATCCATCGTCAACCAACAATTCAGATTCAAAAGATTTCACCTTCATCTTTCCAAACCATTAAACCATTACGGAAAGATTAGTTTAGAAGACTTTAGAGACAACAAAAATCTCAAAATTGCCTAAACACACTTTTACTTGTGAGCTCATAAATAACATGGGTTTTAAAATAAACAACTCAGACACAAACATACTTTCAGGGAAAACACAACCATCCCAACAGATCATCTCTGTCAAACCTGCGAACACCATCCAGGGATCTTAGAGGAATTTCTTGTCTTTCAAGGGCCCTCTTGGAATTTTACTTAAGACTTTAACATTTAACACTGCATACTGTTTCTTCAGCTCCACCTCAGCTTTCTCAGCAAAAGCATCAATTTGGTCCTCGTATTTCTCATAAATCAAAGACACGGAGAGCAACAAAACAAAGCCTGGTTTGTGGAGGGTAGAGATAGAGCACAGAATATACTCATTTAGGAAGTGCAAATCATTCCCGATAATGCTAAGGTTTAATTAAGAGAAATACCCTTTGAGATTCAATGGATCTACAAAGCTACAGAATAGCAAGTACAATTCAAAAATATTTTGTTAAATTGGCAAATACCCTCTGATGTTTGTTTGTATTCTTCAGATTGCACCTTATACAGGAATGATTGTTGTTAAGAATGCACAAATTTCATGGGTGCTAACAAGTACCTTAAAATAAATGGAACTTCTGTGAAATACGCAATTATTTTTGTAATTGTCACTCATTGAAAATCACGAAAAGTTCAGGGAGGACGGATATGCAGATTACTTACAAATGTAGAATAGGGTCAAGAAGTTGAAGCAACTTCCAAAGACAGAAAGAACCCACAAGCCAGCAATCACCTAAAATCCACAATTAAATATTTTCATCATCTCTAAATTGGCCCTTGATGAATCCAACATACTCTCATTTTCAATATAAACTATCATATAAAAAATCCACTGGTGTAGCTAATTATCAAAACAAAAGAGGAACTAGAGAGACAGAGTAGAATATTGTCTAGGTCTCAAGTATAAGATAATTTAGAAGGCTGAAGTGATTGCATAAACCAACAATCGAAAACCATACCGCAAGAAATTTCTTTAGATCTCTCCCTGATGCAATATCTCGAAGGGTGGCAAGAGCTCGATTGATTTCAATCCTAATAGAAGAAGCTATAGCCAGAACAATATCCTCAGGGATAACTACATTTGGGATCTTAGGGGGAGACCTGGGAAACATAAATGACATTAACATGTATAAAACATACAAGCGAAAATATGATTTACTAGTCAATAGGCTGACATACTTACTTGTTGATAAAAGTTGAGGCATTTGACCAGAGAAAAAGGATCGCCAGGCCAAGGATTAGGAGATGGCACACAAGTGTGAGTAAGTGGTACTCGAGCAACTCAAAGAGAACCCAGTTAGCGGTGGCAACACCAAGCACAGCAGCAGAAACTTTCTTGTCCCTCCAGAGGAAAATATCAGCAACTGTCAGAAAATTCTTCATCATGAGATATCCATTATGGGAATAGAAATAGAAAAGGATTAATTTATGATCTATACGGTTCTACTATCTTATTGATGGAAAGTAACACAAAGGGGAATCCACTTTCTTTAATAATAATAAATCGAACACACACATATAGCACAAAATTTCTGCAGCAGTTCATTTTTAGATAGTTGGAAAAATAAATGATACAAAGGGAAGAGTGCTGTCCAACGAACAAAAGATGATAGCAATTCTATTCCGACTTTTTGAAATTTCACTTCACTGAGAAGAAATGCTCTATGTAATCTCATCGGCTTTTTCTATTTACATCACCTAAAACACCATCAAGAGTAATACAGATATGCATTTCCAGAATCAAACGCATTACCTCATCGTTACGATTGAAAAACCCCGAACAAATTGCATTTGACTATGACATTAATTAACAGCAAATGGGGGTCCATCAAAAAAGAAAACAAAATTCTTAAAGTTTCCCGGAGACCAAGATCAAATGGTTCCATCAATAATAGAAACACACGTCTAACCACATCAAACACATATAACACACACATCATATCCCTCTGGATAAATAAAATATAATCTAACCATTGTAGAATGCCGTATTTTCCCGAGAGAAAACAAGATCAGTTGGCTTCTGTAAACATACATTGAGCACATCGACAGAAATACAATTCATACACACTTATAAATATACGAATTATTAAAAAAATTAAAAAGACAGTTCCAAAATAGGATGTCGTACGTTTTCCACCGCCTAGAACCTTGTGTACAGGCTTTTCACGGCCAAAGAGGCGGTAGATCTTGGCCTTCACAGCAGCGGCGGCCGATTTGATATCGTCGTCATCGGAATCCGACGAGGAAGAATCAGAGCCATGAAATTTATCTGTGATCTTATCGATCAGAGATTCAGCGACAGATTCGTTTTTCTCGTGCTCAACGGCTTGATCAGCCATCTTTATTCCAATTCACGATCTAGATCGCCGCTGGTGATGACCTTCCGTTGAAACTTCTATTCAGCGATTTCTCCTCCGATATTTTGGCTTGTGCGTTCTCAGTAGAAAAATGTTGGGAATGGAGAGACATTTTAATGTTCCGACTTTCGGAGCCTGAGGCTCGGAGTGACGGCCGTTCGATGACGTTATGTTTGAGTTAATTATTTTTTTTTTTTTTCTGAAACGGTAATTAATATAAACTAATACAGAGCCCGTGCGATGCACGGGGTGCACAATTTTGAGCTATTTATCCAGGTTTATAATTATATACATAAGTAAAGAAAAATGTACGGGATATATATAGTACGTCACGAGATATATTTATTTGGAGAATATTATATTATAAGATGCAATATTCAATAAAAGTTTAAAATAGGCAAAAAAATTGTACAATGTTCAATAAAAATTTTATAATATTCAAGTGGAGTCTTAAAGTCTCTTGTACATTAAGACTACAGACAAAATAATATTATAATCAATGAATTTTCTTTCCTCGTAGCCAAATTGTGAATGTGATTTGAGGTGTACAACAAATCGATATATAGCTTATTTGTTTTTTTCATTGTAGTTTTTTTTTTCTTTTTTTTTATAATGAATTTAAAGATATTCTAAAATATAGCAAAAATTAATTTTTTTATTACAATTATGAATTTTACTAAATATAAACTCTCGATCTATGGTGTTAATCAACGTTTAAGTTTAAAAAATTAAGAATTTTTACCTCTTTTAATCAACGTTTAAGTCTAAAAAACAATAGAGTTATTATAAGTTTTTTTCTACATCTTTTAAAACATTAAATATGAGCATGTTAGGGCTAGCTTGTAAAATAATTAATATATTATCTCACTAAAACATTTATACTAATAAAAATTTAATTTTAGCATATAAATTTATCCCCTGATATAAGAGAAAGTAACAGTTTTACTTATTGTTGTTTTTTTTTTTTTCGGAACGATAGGGATATTATATATAACGCACAAATGTGCAAAAAGCAGCCACCAGCTGATTACAAACAACCAACAGCTGAATACAAGCAGCCAATAGCTTAAAAAGTAGGAGGACAGGTCAAGAGACCGCCTAGAACCGACCCCAACGGGGTAAAACTCTAGAACACTAAAAAACACACAAAACAACAACAAAAAAACAACAATAATATAAGACCCCCACAGGGTAATTCCCGAGTGTCGGACCCCCACAGGGTAATGAAAATGACACTCGGGTGCACAGAGGCTAAACGGCCCAGACCTAAAACATAACGACAATCACAAACACATGAACAAACACACTAAACAAGAACAACAAACCAATCTACTACATAACAAAAGAAGGAAAAACACAGCTAGATAAAAAGTCCTTCCACAGCAAGTCAGTCAGCTCGAACCAGCGGAGAACGGTCGATATCAGAGGATAATTCAAGTCCAGGAGACGGCTTCCGAAACTGCCACAAGGCCTATAAAAAAAGTCGAGTCCGAACACAAACCAATCGCCAAAATGACCCACCTCAACCGGAAGGACAACCGAACACGCACCCACTCTAGCACCTCCCGAGCACGCCTAACACCACTAGCCGAGCTTAGGAGCGCCTGAACCCTGCCGTCTAACACCACTAGCCGAAACAGGGGGGCGGCTCGGGCCCTCAACTCCGACAAACCATCAGAGCCCCATCCCTCCTCACGACCCACACACAAGCAGCCAACACCGCCGTCGACCACCGGCTCCAGGACCAAAAACCCCCGGACAAATTTCGCCGGAAAAAGCGGAACCACCCGAGGGCCTTCCGTTCGCACACTTAATCGAGAATGTAGAACCTGAGCAGAAAAAGGAGAAAAGCTCACCTCCAGTCGGGACCGGCGGGCAACTACTCCACCCATTCTAACCGGTCGACGACTAAAGTGCTCACCTCTTCCGATCTCCACTTCGCTGGCGAACAGAGGCATGGTAGACCGAAAATCACAGGCAACACCGACAGTCTGGGATAGCAGAGGAGGGACGGCGGTCGAGCACGACCACCGGCCGGCGCCGCACCGCCGCCTAGGAAGGCTGTGCAAATCTGACGGGAGGAAAGCTAGGGTTTCGAAATTTGGGGGAAGACGTCGCAGGAGTACTTATTGTTGTTCACCATATAATATTTAATTATTATTTTATTATATAATAAAAAAGGAATATTGTTAAATAGTGTAGTAGAATTGTTATAAAATTATATAATTTTTTTTTTTTTACAATATGGATTTAATATTTTTTTATGATTTGATAATATAAACAAATCTATACTTAACTTTGACAAATAAAACAAATAAATACTTTAGTAAGTATTTAATGTATATACTAAATAGGAATATATTTGGTATAATAAAATACCAAATATAATCAAATAAGTCAAAGTGTACATTTTATTGGTATTTGATTTTTTTATTATTAAAATCTTTTTATTATACTTAGGGGGCGCTTGTTTATGAAATATTTCATTCAAAATGAGTTATTTTGGTTAACTAGAGTTAATTTTGAAAAAAGTAATATGGTTAGTTGTTAGTGAGATTTTAAGAATGTATTAAAATAATATTTAAAATAAAATGATTAAAATTAATTTGATGTAAAAGTAGGAGATAATCGATTGGAAATGATTATAAATGATAGGTAGTTAAAAATATGTGAGTGGATGAATAGTGAATTAAAGTTGATGTGATGTGTAAGGATGATTGGTTTGTATTATTTAATTAAATGAATAATATTAAAGATAATGGGGTTGAGTTAAAGTTGAGTTAGATTTTGAGTATGAATTGGATTGAATATGAATTAATTTGTAAACAAGCATGCCCTTACCTTTTTAAAATAAAACAAATAAATAAATCAATTAAATAAATAAAATATTATAATACCAAAATAGTAATGGCATTTAATGCAGTTGACTTTTCTGGATAGTAAATATAGTAAATAGAATCTCCTTTTATATAAGTATAGATTGTATAATACGGAAATAGTAATGCAATAAATGCTGTTGACTTTTCTGCCTACTTAATTTGGTAAATAGGACTCCCTTTAATATAAGTATAGATACCCAACTCTGGGAAAAGTATGTACAAACGGCATGTGCATGGACATAAACCTTAGCATTCCAATTGAAGCTAAGTTACAGGGAAAGATCCCACAAAAGGCAACTACAAAAAACTAAAGCAAGCACTAAAACAAAGACAGAAATTTACAGAAAAAAAATACAAAGCAAGGGCCAAACAGAAGTAAGCCAAAACAGATAAGGAGATAGCCATGCAGAGATATACGAACTGAGAGAAGTCCTGCCACTGAACACAGAGGTCCCTAGCCAAGCTTCCACATAATTCAGCTATCCATCAAAACTCAGAAAATAGCAACTGAAATAGCAGACAAATTAAAGCCTAATGTTGTTCACTTCCTCAAATTCTAGCCATTCCTTTTGGGCACCTTGTGCAATATCCTTTTCAGATTTTCAAGTTTTGTTGAATATCCAGATGTTTCGAGTTTTCTACAACCACCATAAAATATACGAGGAGAAATGGATGCAATCATGAAAGCTCTTTACCCTCTTCATGGAACAAACATCAGACCACCAAATTTTGAAAGAAAAGGCCGAGTGATGCATACCTTCCCAATGAAGTCCCGCAAGTTTCCAGACTTTAACAGCACGAGGGCAAGTACAGAAAATATGTTCTTATACCTCTTTTGATGAGTTGGTCTTGAGTTCCTATGAAATTGAACCAGCATTTCCAGAGAAAAACCTTGATTTTATTCTTGATTTTGAGGGACCATGTGGTTTTCCAAATTTTTTCCTTCATTAAACTTTGATTGCTAGTTTCAGGTGGTGCGGATTTTAAGAGCTTGTCTTTGAGAATAGTCACATAAGCAGACTTCACTGAGAAGTTACCTTGCTTGTGAAGAGTCCAGCTTAAAGTGTCCTGCTGCCCTTGTCTGATGGGAATGTCTAAGATCAGTTTTGCTTCTTCAGGTAAGAAAGTCTGTTCTATTAGGTCTTTGTCCCAAGCTGTGCCATTAGAGTTAAGCAAATCACAGACCTTTTTTAGCCTGGAGCAGTCTGAGTTGTAAACCATTGATGGTGAGTGCTTGTTCAGTCCTGCAATCTAGGGTCACTCCAGATATCTGTGTTTCTACCATTCCCAATTGACATGACGGCACCCCTTCTAAGGTGAGGTATTACTCTGAGCCATGTGCTCCATAGCCAAGAATCGGAGCATTTGTGTTGAGCTTTCCACAATGAAGAATTAGGAAAGTATTTTTCTTTGAGAATCTTGCTCATCAGGAGATCGGGCTTCTGAATGATCCTCCACAGTTGCTTTGAGATAAGAGCATCATTGAAGGATGTTATACACTTGAAACCCATACCTCCATCCTCCTTGGGCAAAGTGAGTTTGCTCCAGGATGCCCAGTGGATTCTACTCCTTTCATTTTATTTGTTACCCCGCCAAAAGGAGGCTGAGTACCTGCCGATTTCTTTACAGATGGCAAGAGGTAATTTAAAACATAACATTACAAAAGTGGGGAGAGCTCCTATAACCGATTTTAAAAGTATTTCCTTCCCAGCATCAGAAAGAAAAGTGTTTTTCCAGGAGCTAAGCCTACTAACAACCTTATTTACAACAAAACTAAAAGTTTCTTTTTTGGATTTTCCGAGCTCTAATGGCAAACCTAAATATCTAGAGGAATTAACAGTAGAGATCCCTGACAGGATTGAGGCTATCTCAGCTTTGGTATGAGCATGGGTGTTCTTGGAAAAATAAACCGAGGATTTATTGAGATTTACCCGTTGGCCTGACTCAAGACCATAGAGTTTGAGGATATTATAGATTAAGGTAGCATGGTGAGAATCAGCTTTACAGAAAAAAATGGAATCGTCGGCAAAGAAGATATGGGTGATAGCGGGGGAATTCTTGCTAATTTTTATTCCTTGAAAAGAGTGTGATAAAGAGGCTTGTTTGATAAGGTTAGAGAGAGCTTCTGAAATGATAATGAACAGGTAAGGGGATAAAGGATCCCCCTGCCTCAAGCCACGGTTTGGTTTCAAAAAACCCAAAGGATGACCATTGATGTTAAATGTGAAGGAAGAAGTGGTGTTAAATGTGAAGGAATAAGTAGTTATGTTTGAGTTATATTTGGC